ACAGCCTACAGTATTTTTACAGTCTTTATTTTACAGTTAAAATATGTTTATCAAATAAAGTCTAATGTTACAACTAATCATGGATCCCTTTAAAATGAATTATTTCTCCAAAAGCGTTTTAACTGTAACTTCTTATTTGTCCTTTTTTTAAATTCTGACAGGAAAACTTTTTCCACTGAGACTATTTTATGTTTATAAAAACAAACACATTTGTCAGATCTTTGCAGAGCAGTAAAATGACAGCGATGTTTACTGGAGGCAGTCAGGTGTTAGACTGTGGACAGATACTCGACAGAAAGTTCGAGGCTGTGCTGCTGAATGAGGTGATCCGTGTATTACAACATGTTCAGGTTACAATTTGAATTGTAAATTTATTTACAGGTTAAACTCTTAAACGGAGAAGTTAATTTAGTTTAAATAAATGAAAAATAGATGGTGGATGTATCAAACCAAAACGGATGTACTGTTTGTCTTGTGATCACTTTGATACTTTCCCTGTAAGATTATATTACTTTGTTTGTTCGTCTGTTGTACGTAAAGCCACACATGATGAAGGGATTCAGCTCAATGTAAAAAACAAAGGGTTGGTGTAAGGTTCATACACAGTGTTAGTGTTACCGTTGGAACAATTCATCCTCAACACTTTTCAGAAGGCTCCTTTGGACACGAGTGAGGCAGACAGCGTAAGAGGACAGTGAAAGGAGAAAAGAAAAGTCAAAGGAGAACACRTGAGAAGAAGCTTCAACTGACATTAAACTGCAGACTGGGTGAGTGAGTGAATAAGTTAGTGTGAAAGGATGACTACAATCTGTCAGAACTAACATGCAGACGTAGRGACAGAAGCACAGCAAGACTTTAACCACGAGTGAGAGCTCTACGTTAAAAGTTTCATTCATCCTACCTGGTTATTCCTCCATCTGTTAAAGGACTCCAGCGGGAAGGGAAGTCATTATCTTTACTCACATCCTGTGGAAAAAAACAAAAAAATTACAATTTTAGTTTTATTTTTTATTTACACAAGAGTAAATAAACAATAATATGAGCCATATGTATCAAAGTATTTACCATTTCAGAATTAGCTTCAGTTTCCTTTGAGATCTGTATCTTGTCAACTGTAAAACAAACAAACAGTCCTTTTTCTGTTAAACACATCTTTAACACTAGAGGGCAGAGAAGCACATTAAAACTAACTTTACTGGGAACACTGGTGCATGGTTAGCAGGAGCTGAGGAACATGAGATGTCTGAGTCTGTCAGCAAAATWTCTCATACATCTTAATAAAACTTTCAGGAATTCATCACTGTATGAACATCTACAACTGATTAACTTTAGGAGTCAAGCAAATTAAAGATGGCTCAACTCAACTCAATTTTATTTATAAAGCCCTTTAAAGGAGACCAATTATGGGTCCTAGAAATGTTTATGGTATGTCTGTGGGCTAT